GAATAAAGTTACGTTGAAACCAAGCACACCATTGTTTTTCTTGTGACATTACCAATAAGATTGATGTGTCACATGGCCCTCTTCCTATTGAAAAAACAAAAGTTGTGTCCAAGATGGCCGACTTCTAAATGGCCACCATGGTCACCACCCATCTTGAGGAGTTTGCCCCCTCACATATACTAATGTGCCACAAACAGGACTTTAATATCACCAACCATTCCCATGTTATTACGGTGTATCCATATAAATGGCCCACTCTGTACTTCTACATTAGTGTGAAACCTTTTTCCCTCTTCAAAGCTAAATTAATGTTACTGGCTATTGATTGATGCTATAGTTGATGTGACCCCTATCCTTTCAGAGTTGTGTGGTATTATTTTGCAATTTCTTTTGTCATTTTATGGCATTACATTCGTACATTATAATATTGTAATGGTAATAACACGTCTTTCCAATTTTGGCCCACTGTTAATGTTAATGAGCATTAAGTTTGCACTTTTACATACTATCAACAACCATACAATGGCTCTTTTGAGAAACTGTTATCCAGAATTATATGTTCTCCTGGCTGCAAATGATACTTTATCCCAGGATAAGAAGGAAAAAAACATGTAGCAGGGGAACATGTCTTTTCAAACCCTGCAATGCCAATCACATACCACATGTCAGTTTTTGGAATATTGAATTGCTCTGCAAAGGAGACAGCTGTGCTGTTTTTTATAATGTACCTTTGAGCCCTGCCCTCTTGAACCAATGTTCACATTACAGGTATTCAAAGACCTGCAGCTAGAAGGCATTTCTTTTTCTGAGAAAAACACACATTCTTGGATATTATGGCATGCAGGAACATGTGCTGCATGTTTTAAGAGACTTATCATTTCTGGTTGAATAAATACAGAACATATCAGTTTAAATGTTACCAGGACAATGATAGTTTTATAGCAGGAGAATAAAGAATAAAAATAGTGCAGTCCATAGCACATAAACAACATAGCTAAAGTGAAAGTGAAAGTGCCACAGGCTCACTTAGTGTGGAACAGACTTAAACTGAATAGCACCAGCTTGGTAATACCATTTCAGAGATGTATAGTAAGGTGCTGAGATTGTGCCAGAGAGAAGAGCAAATTGCACAAATAGATATTTTGTGCAGATAAATCTAAAACAGCTGCAATAAGGTATGGTACAGACAGAAGAATCATTGTACAGTTTCCCAGAAAAAAGCAGGAATGAGTTCCTGAAGCATTCCTTATTACAGCCAGGTTAAGCCTGAGGGAGAATGAACTCTGTTTTCACAGCAGCATGAAGTGGAGTGGATGGGATGTATTTTCTATGATTGAGAGCAGTTTTTGCAGTGACTTCCTATTCCTCTTTGACTCTGGCCAATAATGGTTAAAGCCTTGTGAATTAGTTTGTTGATCCTGTTGGCATCTCTGGCAATGGTGTTTAGCTACCATAATGTTTTATTGGATTATATTTGATGGCTTGGGTCCCAGAAAGATTAGCAACCACTGTTGTGGAAGCTAATGGAGTTCCTTATTAATAATTAAATAAATAAATAAATATAAGTGGCACCTTATTGATTGGAGTTGGTTTATTTTGTTCAGCTTAAGCAGGAAGTTCTGATTTAGTTATATTATTGTGGTGAATATTGTATTTAAGCAACAGTTGATGTAAATTTAATTTCATATAAATTTCATATTTAATGTATAATTTTATAACTGTATTTGTATTTACATTGCATGTATATGACAAACTGTATTATTTTTCTTGTTACTGACCCACACACACAGACGAGAGGTCTAATCAAGTTTAATTTCTTTCTTTCTTTTCTTTTTTTTTTTTTGCCTGTCCAGCACTGTAGCAATCAGAATTACTGTCTGAAGGCAAAGACAAATGTCCAACAGATTTATTTTCTTGAGTGGATCATTACAGCTTTTGGTATACTGGTGGATTTTGTTGTCATAGTTTAATCGATCTTTATTATTTATTTATTTATTTATTTAACTTTTACATTTTTGCAGTCAGAATGGACTGGGCTGGGGGACAGGAAAGAGAAAGAAATTGGGAACTGAGTTAACGACGGAGAGAGAAAGAAAACTAGAGGAGAAGAGAGACAGAGAGAAAGGACACTGAAAATCTGTTTAATCACCTGCTGAAAAAAAACAAGAAAAAAGAAAACATCACAAGAGGCAAACCACAGCAACAGCCAACATAAGCACAAGTAACAGTAAATTATAAATATTGAATGTCAAATTCAAATTCAAATTTTATTTGTCACGTACACAGTCATACACAGTACGATATGTAGTGAAATGCTTGGACAACTGCTCGTGACCTAAAGAAAACAAAAAAAGGAAAAGGCTATGAATAAGATAGGAAATAAATATGAAAAATTAAAAAGGGTAAATTTAACTGGGAAAGAATAAGATAAAATATGTAAATTAAAGTTGAAAATAAAATAACTGTACAACAAAATACACAATATAGAACTATATAAGAATGTATGAAGAAATCTAAATAAATATATACACAATAACAGCAGCTGTACAAGTATTAACTGGAAATGAAGAATATAATGTCCAGTGTTGTGCAATCCACATTATGTCTTGTGCAGTGCAAATATGCTTAAAGTGATTTAAGTGATGAAGTGAAAACAATGTCCAGAATGTCCAGTGTGTGTAAGAACTGTATGTGTGGGTCAGGACTGTGTGTTGGTGTGATTGAGAGACCGTATCGCCTGCGGGAAGAAGCTCCTCCTCAGTCTCTCTGTGTTGGTCTTCAGGGAGCGGAATCGCTTTCCTGACCTCAACAGAGAGAACAGTCTGTTGTTGGGATGGCTGAGGTCCTTCACGATCTTCCTGGCCTTGGTCCAGCACCGCCTGCTGTAGATTGAGTGCAGGTCAGGGAGCTCGGAGCGGATGGTGCGCTCAGCTGATCGCACAACCCTCTGTAGAGCTCGTCTGTCCTGCATGGTGCTGTTCCCGAACCAGGTTAAGATGTTTCCCGTCAGGATGCTCTCTATGGTGCACGAGTAAAAGTTCCTGAGCACCTTGGAGGGCAGTTGGAAGTCTCTCAAGCGTCTGAGGTGGTAGAGACGCTGACGGGCCTTTTTCACCATGGTGTTGATGTGACAGGACCATGACAGGTCCTGCGTGATGTGAACTCCGAGGTATTTGAAGCTGTCCACTCTCTCCACTGGGCACTTATTGATGACAGGGGTCTGGTAGTTCCTCTCCTGCTTAGTGCTGAAGCCCACTATCAGCTCCTTCGTCTTACTGACGTTTAGAAGGAGGTTGTTCCTCTGGCACCAGTTCTCCAGATTCCTAATCTCCTTCAGGTAGGCCGTCTCGTTGTTATCAGAGATCAGGCCCACCACGAGCAGCAGATGTCATATGTGTACAAAGAGTACAGCAGGGGGCTCAGAACACACCCCTGGGGGGCTCCAGTGCTGAGAGTGGTGGAGGCTGAGACATGTCCGCCCATCCTTACTGCCTGTGGTCTGCCAGTTAGGAAGTTGGAGATCCACTGACACATAGATGAGCTGAGTCCCAGATGCTCCAGCTTGGTGGTGAGTGTGGAGGGAATTATGGTGTTAAATGCAGAGCTGTAGTCTATGAAGAGCATTTTAACATAATTCCCCCTTCTAGTGTCCAAGTGAGTGAGTGATGTGTAGAGGAGATGTGTGGAATGTTGCAGCGGCTGCAGTGATGCGGACGCTGTACCGGTCTGTTGTGGTGAAGAGAGAGCTGAGTGTAAAAGCGAAGCTCTCAATTTACCGGTCGGTCTATGCCCCTACCCTCACCTGTGGTCACAAGCTGTGGGTAGTGACCGAAAGAACGAGAACGCGAATGCAAGCGGCGGAAATGGGCTTCCTCCGAAGGGTGGCTGGTCTCTCCTTTAGAGTTCAGCCAACCGGGAGAGCCGCTGCTCCTCCACATTGAAAGGAGCCAGTTTAGGTGGTTAGGGCATCCGACAAGGATGCCCTTTGGTCGCCTCCTGGGCGAGGTTTTCCGGGCATGTCCCATCGGTAGGAGGCCCCAGGGCAGACCCAGGACACGCTAGAGAGATTATATCTCTCGGCTTGCCTGGGAACGCCTTGGTATTCCCCTGGATAAGCTGGAGGAGGTGGCTGGGGAGAGGGAGGTCTGGGCTTCTCTGCTTGGGATGCTGTCCCCGTGACCGGGCCCCGGATAAGTGGAAGAAAATGGATGGATGGATGTTACTGAGCAACATACAAGACTGATAATGCATGATATGTTTAGAGGAAGCAGCCAACCAAGATAGCGTGTGTCTCTGAGTACCTGTTTGTACACACCTGTACATTGCATGTCATGTACATGCAATGTAAATACAAATACTGTTATATAATGATACATTTAATATGAAATTTATATGAAATTAAATTTACGTCAACTGTTGCTTAAATACAATATTCTTTTTATACAGGTGTGTACAATATTCACCCTCAGAGGAGGAGAAGCGTCTATGTTTTTTTTTTCTGGAATCTGTCCAGGGTGCACCCCACCTATTGCCCTGTGGTAGTTGAAATAGGCTCTGCATGGGGAAGAGAATGGATAGATACTAGAACACCAAGAATACCTGTTGAATCAATTACATTTTTTAAACTTTGATTTACTGACAAACTAAAGTTATTCCCTTGTCTCCTGTGGGACAATACGTTTTAATGTTGATTCGGTTCAGAGAATTCAGAGCTTTAACATGTGGCCACCACTGATTAAATCTACTGGAACATAGATGTTTATTTTATGGGTCTGTGCGCTTTATCACCAGATTAACATTTTTCTGCACCGTTTATTTTTTGGTCTTTTCCCAACAGCGTTGCATTTTACTTTTATATTTTTTATGGTTTTTGTAGATTTTTCTGTGGAGGAAAAGGTACATGGCAGGGTGGTGGTTTGTCTTCATTTCTGCTTCATAAATAGAAGTTTTTATTTCTCAGGAGATCTACATAATTAAAAAACTAAACTAACATTTGGTGGAATGCTCTATGAGCATTGCAAGTGTTCTGTTGAATCTCATTTGGCCACAGACAATCTTTAGTCAAGCATCTGTTATAGAAACTGTGGGAATGTGTGTTATCAAAACCAAAGATGCTAATCAAAACCATGAAGACATTAGCATTCAAGGCTGGACAGTTGCAAAATTTGGATTACTTTGCACCATCAGCTGCTGTGCTGTTTGTATCTAAGTACGCTTTTGATTTAACCAACCCATTCCGAAAACTGTCACGGAGCTGGAGCCAACACCCTGTCAAAGAAAGAGACTTGGTTCTTAGAAACGCATAAGAAGAGAATTCCTAGAAGCAGACTCTCAGACTGAGCAATTGTCAAGTTATAACATGTGTTCATAAGATACTCCCTTTTTTGAGCCTTTTAAGTGCACTTGTTTTGTTTTCCTTTTACATAGCAACACCTGTAAATGTCTGTGGACAGTAGAGAGTAAAACGTTGCTTTTTTGTTACTGGCCATGGTTAAATCGATCCCCACCCTGTTGTGTTTTTGGGGTGATTTTATGATACTTTGTTTGTCACTGTGGTGTCTCATTTATACATTATAATATTGTAAAGGTAAGAACAAGTCTGGCTTTTCAACTTTGGGCCCCTCGTTACTGTTAATATTCTATATCATCAAAAGCAACAATGGCTCTTTTGAGAAACACTTTTTCAGAGGTTGAATATATGTCCCCAAGGCTGCAAATGACACTCTCATGGACTAAAGGATTAATGACCTTAGAACATGTCTTCTCAAACCCTGAGATGCCAATCAAATTCCCAAGGATTGGTGTTGGAATACTGAACTCTGAACTTTAAACAGCTATGTGATTTAGACTAATGTAGTCTTTGGGCCTACCCTGCAACCCATTTGAGCTATTCTTTAAGAGTTATTCCAAGAACTGCAGCTGGAAGACAGTGTTATTTCCAGGAAAAGCTTTTTCAATTATTGCATGTTGTGACATGTAGGAATACTTACCTGTGTTTGTCTTCTTTGCTCATGTCTCTTTCTCTTTCTCTCTCTCGCTCTGTTTCTTTTATTATATGCATAATTGTATGGTACAGATTAACACTTTAAATAGTGGGTTAGCCAGACTTTATTTTTGCTCAAGGCATACATGCTGTAATATTCTTTTTGCATTTCCCTCTTGCCAAAACGTACATATGAGATGTTACAAGATGTTTGATCCCACTGTTTGTATTCAAGTCCCATCAAAATTTTAAAGGGCATTTTGTTCTGACATTTTGCAAGAGATACATTCTAGACTGCTGGCTCATGTAAAGAGCATATAGTGAGATTAAAGTTAAAAAATTATGATTTATTTATCAAACCACTACAGCTCTGGGTTGACTAAGTAAACACACTTTATTTTAGCATAACATAATTGTCGAACACATGGTAATCAAATACACTTAGCATTGTAAAAAACTATTAGCTATACATAACCAGTTGATGTCAGATTAATAGCTGGACTCTGTAAATAAACCAAGAACATTAACATCAATCATCATGCTTCTTGAAAAAAAACCCCAAATCTGGCAGCTTGAACAACCATAATTAATGTAAGTGCACAGAATTCTTACGTACACATTATTTCTTTTTAACATTAATCTGTTCTATTCAGAGAAACGTGTAGAATTTAAAAATCTGGAAGTTCTTTTTGTGCCTTTTCTACTAATCCACCCACTACTGATTTCAGTGCAAAAACTTCTCATTTCAGCAAGTTAGCTCATGTTTTACTGTCTTGTTTCTGAACTAAGCTCTTCCAAGAAAAGTTGTTTAAAACCATACGGCTCCAAAACGGCCTTCTAAGTAGGGTTTGAGCTGGGAAATTGAAGTGAAAAGATTTAAAAGTAAAAAAACTAAGCCAAAAACTAACCAACAGTAAGTTATGCTTTTTTAAAGCCTACATCTAACTTTATACAAGATATAATCTGTACGTGTAATTCTTTCTGCGAATAGTTTATCTTGTGCCTTTTTCTAAATTTACAGAAAAGGAGCTTTTATAAAGGTCTTGAACAATAACGCCTGTGCCTGCTTATGACTGTCAGTGGCCACTGACATCTAACCAACCATCCACTAAACACTAGAAAATGGGTATAGTAGACAGCGGTGCCAGACAACTCCGTTCCCCATCCTTTTATTGAAATCTGTGCACTAGCACTTGATAGCACCATTTGTGTCAATTTCAGAGGAACCAGAAATCTTATCTGCACTAGTGACTAATTACATTTTGTCACTAAACTGTTGCGCGGCATTTCCACTACACCAAAATGCCGTTACACTTTCGTGGAAGACCCAACAAACCTGTAAAACTAAAAGCTGCTCTTGATTGCACCACAAAGGTTGTGGCATGACAGTTCATTATTAAATGTTGTGCAATACTATTGTGCAGCATCTATGATTTGATGCCTAACTGGAATGACTCAGACTCATGCCAAAAAGTGCTTTTTCAAAATGTTTTTAGGATGTTGACATGATTGTGAGATTTTAAATGTGTAACTTTTCTGTGCAGCAAGTACCCGTATACCTATGCACATTTGCCTAGCAGTCCTCAGTTGAATTCAGGTTAAGTACTATACACGGATCCATGCTAATACCGGTATAGTTGTGGTCTTAAGTAGAAATAATCTCACACCTCCACTTAAGCCAGACAAATGAGGTATGATGAATGAACAAAAGAATATGCCAGACAAAATAAGGTGACAGACAGAAAGAGAATGATCTGGTACTGGTTGTAAATAGGTGTGAATTACAGATATGTGTGCATGCTCTTACAAATCCAAAATATGAAAACATGACCATTTATCTAAATGGATATTTTAAGATCCAGTATTTGAAGTCTATACAGTTTAGGCTATGCTCGTTTAAAAAAATGGAGATTGGTTTGTTAAGATGAATACACAGAAAATAGATGGAGAGGCAACTTGTCTGAGGATCTATGTTGCTTGCGAATATTGAGACAAGTGAGATAGATCTGAATTTTCTTGTAAGACTATCTAATCCTCTCTTGCCCATTTTAATGAGCTCATATGAATTATAGCTTCAGTTTCCTGTTTTTAGCTGGCAGGTGTGGTCCTCTGCAGCTGTAGCTCATCTACTTTAAAGTTTCTTGTGCATTCACAGATGCTGTTTTGCATATTCTGGTTGTGATGGGTGAAAATTTGAGTTATTTTTCTTTCCTATTAGTTCAAAACAGATTGTTAGTCTCCTCTAACCTCTGGGATCAATGGGACATTTTCACCCAGTGAACTGACACTTGCTGGCCAACTTTCCTTTTCCAGACCATTCTGTGTAAACCCTGGTGATCGTTCTGTTGGAAATCTCAAGACCGGCCGACATGCCATGAATTACCATACCAGATTAAAAGTCACTTAAATAATGTGTTTCTTCCTTATTTTGATGCTCTGTTTGAACTTCGGCAGATCATCTTCAACATGTCTACATGTCTAAATACACTGAGTTGCGATTGTGTGATTATTTGCATTAAAGAACAGTTGCAAAGACATCCCTAGTA